TTCGCGAAGAACCGCAAGGCAGTCATGCCAGAAAGAGTCACAACGGCGGATGATGACGAAGCATACACTCGGATGATTCCCGAGGCCGGCGGGATGGCTGTTCCTGTTGGCCGTCTATCTCGGCTGGTCTCCATGTTCTTGAACAGATGAATCCTCTTTTATCTAGGTCCAGCCTTTTGCAACGGGGAAAAGGAGATCTGGAATTTGGAGAGGTCTTCTATAACAATTCAAGTCACCCCATCAACCAGTTCATCCATACAACGTGGCATATATCGTCATCTGTTCAGTTTTGCTCTATTTTCCGCCTATTTTCCGAAAAGAAGCAATCGTCGATCGAACTTCCGTCGCAGATCCCCAGCAGCTGCAACCTCAACTGTTCTTCAACGATTGCGAATCGACACCATTCCAATAAAAAAAAACCGCAAGCCGCGATGTCGACTTCAGGCTTCCGAACACGAACGCCCCTGTCGCAATGGGGCGGTGGACAGCGAAAAGCTCTTTTCATACCCATCGTCGTTTCTTCCATAATGATCCTTCTTCTTGTGCTGTCCAACATGTCGTATCTCTTCGGAGCAACATTTGAACAAGGAAAGCGCACTCATGCCCTTAAGATTCTCGCCGTGGACCTCGATGGAGGTGCCATCGGTTCGGCCATAGCAGGTGCATCTCAGAGTTTCCAAGCAGCCAACTTCCCCACGATCGAGTTCGGTTCTGCTTCGAGATACTCGACACCAGCGGCGGTGAAGAACGCCGTCTGTAAGGGGGACTATTGGGGAGCGATCTACATCCACAAAGGCGCATCAGAGAAGCTCGCCAGCGCCATTAGCGGGAACTCGAACGCGGCCTACAATGCTGCCGACTCCGTCACCTACACATACAACCAAGCTCGATACCCCGCCATCGGCGACTCCGTGCTCGCAAGCAATATGCAAAAGGTCGTGGCCGCATCGAGGGGGTTCTACTATCAATCACCGAACGGCACGGCCGCCCTCCAGTCCTTGAACACAACCAACCCGGCCGCCGTCGCCGCATACTTGAACCCAATCTCGTCCACCCCCGATCTCATCGGCGCCCAGACACAGGCCAGCCGTGTTTTCTTCAACACTGTCAACATCATCGTCCCGACTTTGGCTCAGTTCTTTTACATTCTGGCACTGAATGGTATCGGCATGAGCTCCGGTCTCCTCGCCAAGGCGAGGGTCCGTGACGTCTGGCTGCTCCGTTTCGGAATCGGCAAGCTTTACGGCTTCCTCACTGCCCTTACTGTCACTGGTTACCTCTGGGCTTTCAGGGAGAGCTGGTCTGTCGGCGGTTCGGAGTTTGGCAAGACGCTGCTGGTGTTCTGGCTCTACATGGACGTGCAGTGGCAGGTTTTGGAAGCCCTAATCGGGTCTTTCCTACCCATGCAATTTGTTCCTTTCTTTTTCCTAACCTGGATGCTCACCAACGTGGCAAGCAGCGTCTTCCCGTTCGAGATCATGGCCGGCTTCTACAGGATCGGATATGCTCTGCCGGCGCACGAGGTCTACTCCCTCTTGGTGCAGGCATGGACTGGCTGCGCTGACCAGACACGCATTGCGTTGCCTGTCCTCTTTTCTTGGTGGCTTGTGGGCCATGTAGGATCTGTCTTCTCTATCCGCAAACGGTGTGCCGATGCTGAGAAGACAGTTGCTGTTGCCGCCAAGGCTCCCGCACAAGACGACACGCTTTCTATCCCCCCGGTTCAGCCAGCACGGAAATGACTCTACAATCAGACGAAGAGCAGTTCAGGAACGAGAAATGAGGACAAGACTCTATGATTTTGCGAGGGAGGTGATGTGGGGAGAAAGGACTGAAGAGTTGGTATTTGACGCAGCGACTTGATGATACCCGGCATATGGATTTTGTACTGTTTTACTCTATGTTTTCTCGGATGAATGCGGTGTGGCTTTTCGAGGTCACGAAATTGTTTTGGACGGCTTGATGCGTCGCATTTACTAAAGGATAGACTCAACTTAATTAGACAGGCAGGATGTTTTCACAAGCAACACCTGCCACTCAGAAACACCAATACTACTCTTCTCAACATCATTTATCCACGCTTTTCGTATTGGCAATACTTTTGCACATGATGGGCGAAAGCCTGGGTGTTTGCCAGCTTGAGTGTGTTCACGAGGAGACTGAGCTGGCAAACGTGAATTCAAACTATGCAAGGAGTGGATATGGGGAGTGCCGGTTTTTAGGCCTAAACAATAATCTTCCAGAGTCTAGATTTCTTTCTCTCTCACCCCCAGACCATCTACCAGGTGTACCCTATTCATTCCACATCAGAGCTTATTCATCAATTAACGACAATATGGCAGAGCTCCCTCCACCTCAACAGCGTGCCGCTAGTTCCATGATCAAAGGTAGCCGAAGAGGATACTATGCATCTTTTCACGATTAACTATGAATAATCTACTCGTAGATACAATAAGGAATTGCCATCATGCCTCTTCACTGAAGTTTTAAAGGAGCCGCCATGGCTTGTAAAGCCGTAAAAAGGTCGTTATCTTGATACTTTCGCCCCACGATCTGGATGCCTACTGGGGCACCTTCGAAATCGCCTTCGGCCCAGAACTTCCTGACCAACTTGTCTTGTTCACTCAGTGGCAGGGCATCCGCAGTAGCATAGCTTTCAGTACCCTTTTCAAGAGCATTGATCGGTGTGGGGATGACGACGCCCGGGTAATCGACATAGTTCCAGAAGGCTGTGTAATTCCAGAAGAAGCCGGTCTCGTGCGTGCATGCAGGACCAACATAAGCAGGACAGATGACTACATCAACGTCCAGCTTGTTCCAGTGAGCCGCAAAGTCGCATCTGAAGTTGTCTCGGGCGACTCGTTGCCGGAGGACGCCGGCTGCATCCAGATTTTGCCCAGTTGATTCGGCGTCTTTGATGATCGATTTGGTGAGTGGGAGCATGGGCTCTCCAGTCGCTGCCAAGGCTTCCTTGACTTGTTTGCCTCCATCGGGGAAGAACGCCAGCTGGATGTTGCGCAGCGCCTCTTCGACGCGGTACGGCGTAACATGCTTGACTTCAAAACTGGATGAGTTGCTCAATTGTGCACGGGCCCAGTTGAGAGCCCTGGTCACCGGCGGCTGAGGTACAATGACCCCATCATTCATCATGAAGCCGACCTTCAGGGGTGCTTTCGTTGGCTGTAGGTCCAGACCTCTCCAGGGGATTGGAACAAGGCGCGGATCCTCCAAATGCGGTTGGTCTGCTTTCAATACAGACACAAAGAAGTCCATGTCTCTCAAGGAAACGCCAAGCGGGCCAGTCGATCCAAGAATATTGAGCTCCGCGGAGAACCCGCCAGGTCCGACAAAGTTCTTCATCGGGAGTGTATACGACGTAGGTTTGAAGCCGTAAAGGCCGCAAAAGCTTGCTGGGGCCCTGATACTGCCGCCGATATCTGTGCCGATGCTGAGAACAGAGCCACGTAGGGCAAGCAGCGCAGCTGCGCCACCGGTCGACCCACCAGCTGTCAGGTTGATGTTGAACGGGTTGAGGACCCGGCCGTAGAGGGAGACGGTCTCCAAGTGCATCACACCCTGAGGCTGGGCTGTCTTGCAGTAGAACACTGCACCGGCTTTGCGCAAGATAGCTATCATATGGCTGTCGGTGTCATCTTTGTGGCGAGTGATCAGGAAGCCCAGAGAAGAATGATGGCCAGCTATAGGAATCATCTCCTTGACGCTGATCGGTACACCGTGCAGGGGACCGACCGTCTTTCCCGTTTTTGCAAGGTGCTCATCAAGGGCTTTGGCCTGTTCGACGGCTTCGTCCATAAACCATTCTGTCAGGCAACATGTGAGCTGATGGGCAATGATGGCTCTCTTAGCGAATGCTATAGCAACAACGACAGCAGTGAATCTCTTCGCTGCAATGGCGGCAGCTAATCCGACGGCGTCGAAGTTTTCCGTGATGTCGATTTCCTCTTCAGATAGGATGCCGGACTCTCGCGGAACACTAATGGCATTTCGAGGCGGCTGGTCAATGATGGAAGAGGAAATGTGATATTCTTGTGGCACCTTGGCTGAAAACTCCTCGATGAGCGTTCGGCGTATGGCCTCGAATTCTGGAGTGCCTACGGACGATGGTAGCAGCTTGATAACGGGCAGAGAATCTGGTGCCATATTGAAGAAGATGTGGGAGGTAACAACAGGAACCGGAATTCAAGGTGCAGGATAGAAGGAAGAGGGCCTCGGAAGAATAAGTGGACAGTTTCTCAAATGCGCATGCGCCTTTTATGCCCATCACCTCTGGAAAGATGCAAGCCTAATGATCCATACTCTCAGGAATGCTGAGCAAGGGTGTTGTTCCCGCCAGTTCTCGTTGAACAAATGATTTCTCATTTTGGGTCGAGTTTCAGATCGATCCTCCGCTTTGCAGTGTAGTTGAAGAATTGAGTGATGAGCCAACTCCGTGGAGTTAAACCCTGGTTCCATTTGTCAGAGCCGGTAAAGTGGAGCCGTGCGATTGGAATCTTTCCCACCAGACAGATGTTAAATAACTCCATGGCAGAGAATGATGCACATCGAATGACTGATTGAATTGGGCATTATTCGAGCGATCCATTTAGTTAACGGAATTGGGCCGGTCGACTTTGATCGGGCCCGAACGTGCGGGACTGGGCAGGAGGCCTGCTGAGGAATCACCAGCTTCAGTGAACTCCGCGGCTCCGGATCTTGCGCCACCCCATCCCATCACCACCCCGAACCGTGCTGACGAATTTGTTGATTCCTTTTGTTTTTAGACTTCGCAGTGTGTGGCGGTGACTCGATCATCTTCAGATCGACCATGAAGCCATTTATGGTCCCACCGGAATCACAAGTGCGCAACCACGACCGACCGGGCGATTGGCTGATCATAGAGCAAGATTCAAAAGTGCAACATAGAAGATGTCAGCCACCTCCAAAATGTCGATCCAGACGAACTGGTTCAATCAAAAGGTTATGCACAACAGGCAAAAGAATCTCCTCGACGGGGAATTGAACCCCGGTCCCCTGCGAATCGTTTGAATGACAAGCAGATATCCTCACCACTAGACTATCGGGGATTTGCTGATGACTACCACCGGACGCAACGAATTCAAGAAGTGCACATTGAGCGAACTCTGATGGCTTCAGACTTTACTTCCGTGATTTACTCTGTTATATTATTGTCAATGATTGTGGCCCAATCTAGTATGAGCCCAGCTGGATCCAGTAGTCCTGCAGACGCTGTGTTCTATAATACTCAGGCCTATCTCTCTGGACCACACTAGCATAGGCATATGACCGAATACAGACAGTTGAAACGATAAAGGAAGCAGGGAGGAAATCAAATTTCCTGCCTGGAATACTAGTAAATATTGAAACAATGTGAGATTGTTGCTAAAACCTGCTAAGATCGGGAGGGTATGGCGGAGGTACGTGTATCTGGCCAAATAACTAACGCAGTTCTCAGGAAGATGACGAGACAGCTGAAAGCACAAGATACGAAGAGGTGTATGATCAACGCCAAAACATTGCCAGAAGACTTTTCTTTACTTATCTACAGGTTCCGTGGCTTAAGAATGAAGGTCTAATTATCCACGCGCCGTGGATGCCGTGGTGCGATGCAATGCAGCAACCCCGTCCAACAGCCAACGATGATCAAAGCGATCAAAGCACGATAATTAGGGGTTTGCCACGTGACATTATTGTACGCAGCAATGTAACGGATGAGTCGAACAATGGAATTAAAGTCTGCGTCTCCTGGGAGGTTCTGCAATGGCATGAAGGGCGACAAATGTAAACGGTAATTGACGACAGCAAATAGTCCGTACCCTACGCTTTTATGGTCCTGGCCGAAAAGAGCACAACCGGTGCGGAAGGGCAAATGAATTCGATTCGAAAGATCACAGCTTCTTTTTATCTGCAATATGCCGAAACCAACCCGTCATATGTATGATTGTGAAGAACTATTCCGCTTCGCAATGACACTCACGCAGCTTAAGGCATACGTGGGTTTTGTATGAGTACGAGTCAATAGACGCTCGGCGTTCCACTTTACCAGCCTGGGCGATCATGTGGTTATAGGCACTGCCCACTGGGTCCATCATATTGCTTTGTGGGACGTTGAATACATAATCCGCTCTGTTCGCCCGACCGTCCTCCTGTCCAAGTAGAACAGAGAGCAATGAGGCAATTGGAGAAAAATGCATTTCATCCACTGTAAAAAAGGGTCAAACATGCATCACGGTGAGTAAAAAATGCTTATGCCAGAAGGTAACTTTGCTGCACAGCTCTAATGAGAGACACGAGTATGATAACGCGCGCGTTGTTACTTAGTGTACCCTAATGCTATGCTATTGCTCGTTTTAACTCGTATCAATGCAAATGGATACAGTCGTTATACGCTGATTCATGGCTAACTAAAACTAGCCTCGATGTGCTACATATATTCTTCAGCAACAGGGATGCCAATATCCTTACCAATGCTGTCTGATTTGCGTCCTGGTTCTCGGCTCAATCCGCATTTCCTTTCCAAAGGTTATGTTCAAGGCTGTAAGTGGGCATGCTGTACTGCCGAGACCAGAAAGATTACTGGCTTGAAATGTTGATCGCTTCGTAGTGTCCGTTCCCTCAACGGTATGGTCTGACGTACCTGCACGTTCGGATTGAAGGGTTGACTTCAATCTTTATCGTTCATTCTTGGAAAAAAGTTGGATGCGTGCCTATTGACCAAGAGAAACCGAGTTCGTTACTCGTCCGACTTAGTTATTGCACCCTTTCAGCCTGTAATGGTGCTTCCCTGTCTCCCAAATTACAAATGAGGAGAAAATCTGCAACTTGGCGATGAAAGTCGGATTGGTTTTATCAACTATACAATATAGTTTCTGTAGTTACGTGTCACAAAGTATGATATGCTAGGGTGCTATCAAGCGCTGATCTTTAAGAGTGTTCATGCATGCCGCCGATTAGGTTGGTAGTGCCGAGCCTTACTCGTGGGACCAGCTACAATCCACTGATCGTCTACTTTTCATCCATCTGAGGCGTTCGGCTGACTCGTAACACCTGAAGCTTCGTCTGAAATTGAAGTGACCTAGCCTACTAGCGGGCCCTTGTCCCTTGAAGCTACACGAAGGCGGCCTTGGCAATGAAGTCAAACTCCTAGGCCATAAATGCAGTGCTATCACTTGAGCAACCCGTGGTGTAGATCTTCATCTCTCTACTACCAGACCCAAGAAAGGGTGCAATCAAATTACAGCAGCCAAGGCCTCCCCATAGCATACACAGCCTCGTGGCTGACCAGTCCATGATCTACAAATAGCTTTTGTCACTGTCTAATGGTTTAAAACATTCTTCAAATCACACATAATATAGAAATGGACTGTATACTAATGAGCGCTGTTACGTATATAAACTCGCTGCCTAATTTCGATCCCAGAAATCAAAATATCTTTCTTGAACAACCTTCATCGCATACCATTCTACTCAAAGACACAGAACTATAACTCCATCCTATCAGCCAATATGCGCTTCTCTTTGATCGCTATCCTGACTCTGGCTACTGCCACGCAAGAAGCATTCGCATCATCGGTAATAAACGCTGCTTGGTCAGGCACCACATAACTGGCTGACAAAGAAACAGTGCAGGATCGCTGATGTTAAGAATAACTGTTGCTGGGGTGGCTCAAACGGGCGGGATGCCTGCTTGAGACAGAGAGGTGGAGCAAATGTGTGCAGAGCTCCTGGAATGGCTTCGAACTTCTGCCAGAATGTGAACAAACAGGGAACGCAAACACCCGTCAGCGAGACCTGCGTAAGTACTTGCTTTCTCCAGACTATACGAGTTATTGCTAACGTTCCACCAGGATGCAGATTGTTGCGATACTGTCACTGGGTGGGGAATTGGGTGCCCGAAATAGACTGAAGGGTTCGATAGCACCTGACTTGAGTTCAAAGGACCTTTTCTTATTTTGATTTTTGTCCGCTTGAGCGACTTTTAAACTTGTCTTGTGAGTCCTTTGTGTAGACATCAGATAGACATCAGAGGAACTATCGAATTGAACAGGATCTGCCTGCGCTGACTCTTCGATGTAAAATAACATTTGTTGACAGATATGATCCAGGAAGCTGGAAGCTTCATGAAAAGAAGAGCTTTCCACGTACCGGGAAAACGCGGCCTCTGGCTCTGTAGTCTGATGCGATCGTCCTCCAGTAAAAGATAGCCCCGGTGTTTTGCGCTTTCCTGGCCGATATATGCACACGATACTAAACAACTGTCACGGTAGGGGTCAGGATAAGTAGTCAGAATAGTCCATCTCATAGAAAAGGGGGTATGGGGCGAATAGGGTATATATACCCTCTGAGACCTACGGTCCCACACGGCCCATGAGGCCTACGATAGGGACTCCATCGTGCGACAACAACTAATGACTAATGCACCATAGTCAAGGCATGTTAATCGACTCCAGATCGTGAGATTCGGTGACCGAACGTTTCCAGAAGGGTTGCGGTAGTGTGATGATTATTTATGTCTCATGAGCCGTCATCGTCAGACTGGGTACGTGGCCAACGTGCCCGATCACTGGGACACCGAATGGCGGGGCCATATTAAAGCCCGAGCCCGACCTGCATCATGCCCTGCATTAGTCGTTTTGGGAAGGTCTACGTGTCCGGCGGAGCAGCCTGTCATGCATTCTGCCTCGTGGTAGTGTCGATACAGCCCTACTCATCTCGACTAAGCCTGTCAATCCAAGTTCGTGCCTGACCATGATCCGTCAGACTGGTTGTTTCGCCCCCACGCTTGAGAGCTTGGCGAATGAGTAAGACGCTTATATTAGCCTCGACAGTCGCGTTGGCGCCAGAGGACAAATCATATCGCTCAATTACCTCTTAGCAGCTCTCAAGAACGTACACTTTCCTTTTTGGGAGACTAGCCATCGGCTTTTGGCTGAGGCCCACGGTTCAACGTACAACTTCCGAAAACGGTAATCAGCGTACAACCTTTCAACCTCATCATTTAGTTGATTTTCTCGAGATAGTCTACTCTTCCTCAGCCTTCTGTCTGTCTCTAGCAAGGAGGTCATACGCTGAGCTGACCAATAGGTCGGGGCATGTCCAAATTTGCCACCACGCCAGCTTGGTAAATGGGATTGGATTCGTCACAGCAGAACCCTTTAGCGATGTCAATCAACGAGGTCGCCAGGCACACGCGGCTAGTTCGTCATCATAAGGATAACATGATATCCTAGAACAGCTGAGTTTAGGTCTAACGGGCTGACTGAAACCATAACTGCTCGCTGGCCAGTTGTTCGACGTCTCTTCCATGCCGAGGTCATTTCTCCACCAACCTCTAGTGAGACTAGAACGTAAGCCACTTGCAACTTCTTACCATGAGATTTGACGAATTAAATCTCTTATACGGATCTCATGTCTTAGCTAGAATCACTGAGTTTATTATCTATAGAGATACACCTGGTCTTTGGGCTGTGAGGATGAGTGCCCTTGCTCCCCGACATTTCCCAAAAAGCGAAAGTCTAGGTTCTTGGGCTACGAATCGCTCGGTAAGCAGGAACCTGGCCGTGATGAACAATTTTAGTCTGACGCTCTGGCAGCATCTTGGCACCGATAGGCAGATCAGGACCGTAGAACTACAAGTGAGCAGGTGTATTTAAGATGCGCTGAACTGCCAAAGAATAGATCAACAGACAACCAGACATAAAGCTTCGTTCTATCCATCAACCATTCATTACAAAGCTCCTCAGCCTATTCGACCAACCCTCACCATATCAAGATGCCTGGCCCTATCATTCCTGCCACGGTCATTGCCGCACTGGCTGATCCGACGAAAATCTGCCAATGTCCGGCGACTTCAACACCACCTTCTTCGAGTTCGACTTGCTCGAAGTGCTCTCTTCCAAAGGCGGCAGCGTCAGCGATGTCGTCCTCTTAGGTTTACAGCACCTTCAGTCAGATGCCGAAGCGAAGAGGTATGGCATGGCCATGATTCTCCTTGCCATAGATTCCACACTAACGTATCATCAAGGCCTCTTGATAGGGACGAATGAAAATCAGAGTTATTGTGTGA